TTAATATCTGAGAGTGTTCAGGCTGAAAACTATGGCAATTAGACCTTACTCTGTGGTTAAATAGAACAATGTTCAATTTTCTAAGGTTCCTAAAGAGAAATCCTATAGAAATGTGATAAATTTCTGTTCCCAGAATTTCCTCCTCGAATATTCTAATTATTCCCAAATCCCCGTTGCTGCAACACCCAACTTAACTCTTACTTATCTATTAATAATAGGACCTGAACCAAGTATCACCCCTTTATCAAGTTTGATTCCTCCAGGAAAAGTTGTTCTTTCCTCCTGCTTCCATAGTACTGTGCATAGACCTCTTTCTACTCCAACACTTCCTAAATGATGTTTAAGAGAAATCGGCCAATAGGGGCTCTGTCATTTTATTTGGTATATTCCCATGCCTGTGGAGTCCTGATAATTGAATGCTATTGAAAATGGCAATCTTGTTCAAATTCATGAAACAGAGTTTGGTCATCTGCCACATTAGAGTCAAAGAGATGGATATTTTTTCCATGTGCAACATAGAAATCTCACACAATCCTAAAACTTGACTGCTTAGGACACTCATGGATGCATAACAGCTGTTCCCTTAGGATTCTTTGACTTACCTTACTTGACTTGTGGTCCACATTAAAAGTGGCAATTGCATCCTCTGTTGTTTTCCTCCCAGATTTGGTTATTACATATTCAGCAAGTTTGTTTGCTAAATAGGTCTTTCCAGTACCACTTGGTCCTGAGAGTATAATTCTGTGATGCTCCATCAACAGGTTAAAGTACCTTTGGGTAATTGGTTTAGGAATCAGCGTATCAAAAACAAAACTGTCCAAACTGTTTTCTTCTACCCCTGAAGGAAGAAACAAAGGGAATAGCATGTCTTAGTGTCCTACATAAGCTAGAATTTAACAGAGCTTTGTTAGTCATAGGAAGGCCATCCTTCCAAAATAATTTCCTCCATATTTCTATTCCACAAACATGTGTTGCCACTTTAAGAAAGAAAACATATCAGTAATAAGGCAGAAAGCATATCAATGAACATCCAAACAAAAGCAAGCTGTTTCCTTTTGTTTAGCCTTCCCTCCCCAGTTTAATTCATGTTTTTCACTTATGTTTCCAGAAATGGAAGCATTATAAACTCTATCATAAAATCTTCCTTCCCTTTGAAGATCATTAAGTATGTTAAGAATGAATGTAAGGATTACATTCACATATATATACGTGAGTCTGTATGTTCTTCCTTTTTCTTACTCTTTTCCATCTCTTTATTCCCTTCTATCTCTCATGACACATTCCAGATGTATAACCACTTAAGCTTTTGAAGAATACAAATTGTGATGTTTGGTAAGGAATTAAGAAGGGAGCAACAGCATCTCCTTTTACTAACCCAATTACTTTAATAATAAAATCAAATATTGACAAATTTCACTATTAACTTACAGTTTATATAGATGTATTCTGATTTTTTAACATAAATAAACAAGGAATTGTGGGGACAAATATACTTCAGATATTACATTAGCCTATAATTAATCACATCATTCAAAGCAAAGAATTTCTTATCCCTGATCCTTAACGTCTCTATTCTTAGTGGCTATTTATTGGGTACACATGTTTTAAAGTCAATCAGAGATA